AAAAAAAAAAAAAAAAAGAAAAAAATCAAGGAAGCAAGCAAGCAGAAAAACAAAAACAAGAACAAAACAAACAAACAAAAATTCTCTTAGCTTCTCCTTCTATCCCACCTCACCAACACCTCTTCATTCATCCTGGTGGCATTGGGGGTCTCAATGTGTCATATATTATATCATTTTTTCCTATTAGCATTACTAGCAAATGTTTATTACAAGGTGTCACTGGTCTGGTTCAAAGCCCCTGTATGCTATCATCACTGGATTCTCACTGGAAGTCCTCTTGGATATTCCATGGCTGCTCTGAGTCTTAGAGATCCCCCAGTATTGTTTCATAGGACAAGCTCTTCAAAAGCTGCAGCATGTACTAAATGGGGTAGATGTTAGGGTCGGCCTGGTTATAGGCCTGGGTAGTAACTGAGCCAGTCATTCTGGACCACTGGGGTGACCCATCTCAGGTGAGGCAGAGTCAAATCCTCTATGCCCATGCCTTCAGCATTGGTTCATCCTTGCCTGTGATGTGGGGTTTGAACACCTCTCTGGAGTGCAGGGGTCAACTGTGACATACTTTAATATATACAATTTTTAACATGTGACAAATGAAAACTCAACATCCCTGGAAGCTTTGTAAAGTTCCACATACCTGGCATTGGGCTTAATGAGAGTCTAAGAACATTTCTAGGAAAATGATGCCAGTTCTTCTACCTTGTCACACAAGGGAAGATGTAAAAAAGACAAATATTGTAGTTAGAGTGTCATCACAATGGTTACATTCATTGATATCCTGTATTCTACATGAAAATATTGTTTTAAAAATTGTAAAGAGTTAGGTGTAAAATAGAAAATGTAATTTTTGTGAGTTAAATATAATTTATGTATATGTGGAAAAGAACAACGACAATTTATGATTCACTGCTATACTCTCAGTTTGACCTCTTTTTTTGATGTTTCAAATTATATAATATAGATGTACCACTATTTCCACTGTTAAGAACTGAACTTAGAATTTAAAAAAAATGTGTGCCTCTTTAAATACAATAAGTGCTTAGAGGCAGAGTCAATATTGAAGGGACTTGACCATGGCTAGTTTGGCACAAGTAACATCATTTTAGCCTATGCTAACAAAACAATGTAGGGTGGTATCAAATATGATTCAACCTTCTGTGCAGTTTGTGTTCCTCATTTGATTTTTGTTCAATTTATTGATATTCAGATGTATGTTTCTAGCTTTAAAGTGTTTTCATCAGGGAGTACTGGAGAGGTTGCTCAGTGGTAAGGAAAACATGTTGTTACTGTAAGGGATTTGTGTTTGGTCCCCCACATATGCTTTACAACTGCCTGTGACTCCAATTCCATGGGGTTCTCTTACCTTCTAGTGAGTGGCCTCTGCAGGCACTGCATTCTCCAAAAGCTCATAGTTGGTGCAGACACAAACATACAAGCACACAAAATAAAGATAACCATATAAATCTTTTTAGAAACAAATTTTCACTTTGACATGAAGGTTTATCTCATAGGAAATGTCAAGTTCCAGTGCTTCTGAGCTTTAAGTGAAGAGCAGTGTTCTCAGTGCCATCGGACCCAACAGAAAACTGTCCCATCTCCCAGTTTGATTTCAAAAGGACAAGATGGACATGATGTTTATGATGCCACAAGAAATATGAATTTTTGTCATTACATGGGCAAAGGCTATAGTAGATAATACAGAGACATTACTAACACTGTTAATCTGTACAAAATATGACATGAAACACTAATATGTAACTAACAAATAATAGCATGAAAATTTAGTTCCTAAATATTTCTTTTAAAAGTGGGCATGTACTTGCTGTTTTTTTTTGTTGTTGTTATTTTTCGTGATTGTGTATCACCATGTAGTTGTGGCCTACCACAAACTCACTACATATATCCTGTTGGGGCAAAGGTCACAGAGATATGCCTTCCTCTACCTCCCAAGTCCTAGGATGAAAAGTTTTCACCACACATCTGGCTTATTTACGTATTCTTATATTGATGAATCTATTATAATGATATTTATGGTGTATTCAGAAAGAGGAGCGGCATGTAAGATAATAAAGTACAATCTGAATAATGTGAAACTTTAAATATTGGCCAGTGAGATATAACATACTAAATATTAGTTCCACTTTAGTTGAGAGCTAGAACCCTGGAACATCATGCACAAGGCTCTGTCTCCCATTAGTAATACAGATAAAACAGTGCGTAAAGACATGCCATCAGGTTGTGCTTAATAATAGAGTATGATGAAACCAGGGGAAATAACTCAAGATAAACTTGGTACTGGAAGTCTTTGTCTGATACTTATTCTGGACATTCCCTTTCATTTGCCTTTTCCAAGGACAAGAGACAGAGGCTTCAAACCAGTCATTTTAACAATGGCCCTTAAACAAAAATTCAGTTATTGCT